ACCCCGGGCTTCTGACAAAACAACCCGGGCTTAAGCCCAGTAAGCCACCCCCACGCTCCGCCCCTGGTTGTCAGGAGAAAGCATCTCCAAAATCACATGGCAGGAACGCTTAGGTTTGCAAAGTTGCAACTGAACAAACCACAAAACGTCTGGAACAATGTCCTTTGGACATGTGAGGCCAAAGTAGGGATGTTTCGCCATAAAGCATAGTACCATGTGTGGAGGAACCCAAACACAGCAAATCAGCACAAACACCTGAGACCAACTGTCAGCACCGTGTTGGAGGGCTGATGATTTCGGCTGTTTTTTGCTGTTACTGGACCTGGGTACCTTGCAGTCACTGAGTCGACCACAAACTCCTCTGTATACCAAAGTACTCTTTCAAATGTGAAGCCATTTGTCCAATAGCTAAATCAGCAGCAAATCTATAACAGAATCTGAAAAAGAAAAGAGTCAAAGTGTTATAATGCCAAAGTCAAGACCTAAACGTGACTGAAATGATGGAGCAGGACCTTAAGAGAGCTGTGCATAAACAAATGCCTACAAACCTCAATGAACTGAAGTGTTGTAAAGAAGTGTGGGTTCTTCCAGAGACTGGAAGTCAGACAGAAAACAATACTTCAAGTTAAGGAGCGCTAAAGGTGCTTTCTACAAGCTGAACTGAATAATGGAGTTTCACAGGGCTGCACAGAATCTTCTAAAACAATTATTTATTCACATGGCTCTATCTTTACATTAAACAATTAAAATGACTTCCCAAAATGTTGTATAATATCTTAAAAAATAATTTGAAGTTTATTGTAATATTCTTTTATTCTCTATATATCTTGTTATCATTGTAGGTTCGCTCAGCAGTAAGAAAACGGTGGCACCGCTGGCAGGACAACCACGCTCTTCGAGTTCGAGTGGCACGAGCCATGTCTATCCCGACCTCTCCGACCAGGATCAGCTTCCACAGCATCAAACAGACCACAGCCGTGTGACCACAGAAACACGCAATCTCCATACTGATTCCTCCAGCAAGGTCGCTGTTTGTCCGGTATGACTAAGGAGTCATGCGATTTATTTTGCCTGGTGACAAAAGTTCATTTTAACTGCACAAAAATGACATGAAGTTCTCGTTATAAGGTACCGTTCGGGACGTAGACGGGCTGGGTTTTTCGAACCAACGAAATGGTTCAATGGTCACATTACAGCAGGTTTGACTCTATAATTTTAGTGTTGTTACTGGTTATGAGTACTTGAAATTTGACTGACCATGACGCATTCATATGTTGCCAAAACTGCCATTTGTATCTATTATGATAAAAATGCTAAACTGCTCTTTGAATGACCTGCTCTTTATCAGCAGCTTAATTTGACAGAAAGAAGCTTTTTGGTAAGGAAGAAAACAGAAAACAGCACAGAGTAAAAACAAAATAATAAAAAATGAGTCATAACACTCTGAAGTGAAAACAATTTAACGTACAGTCATCAACTGCTTTTTTTTTTTTTAACTAAAACACAATCTCAACACATGATGTTTTGGTTAATGTGAGATGTGGCTATTTTATACAAACAAGCCATTGTTAAGAAGCTTTTATAATGTGTCTTTTTTTAAAATCATTTTTCTTCTTTCTTTTTTACATCTTTCTTACTGTTGTAAACATTGGTAAATACTTTTCCCCCCCTCTTTGTTCTGAGGATTTGATTTTACAACTATTTTTATTTCCTTTTGTTAGACTTGGTCTTATTTTTTTGTTGCTTTTTTTTTTACTGTGCAAGGAAGGTGTTGACATAAAGAGCAATTTAACGTGTTATGTGTTTGAACTCCCCGAGAGCGATAAATGAGCGTCCCCAACTTAGAGTTCTCTTGCAGACGAGGAAAGGTATGATTATATATACATTATTTTATGGAGCCAAGTGATTCTCATTTATGTAATCTGTTAAGTGCTGTGCATGGATTTATCATGCAGGCACAGTGGAAGCAGATTAAATTCTTTTGGCTTTACGAAATCCTTGTGGCTTCCTTATAATCAGTGTCACATAAGAAGCTTCTGGGTCAAAGGAAGAGGAGCTTGACAATATGAGGACCGATCCTTTTCCTAAACCCTTGCTCTGGTGAGATCAAACTTCTGCTTGCCTGTAACCCCGGCTCTTACACCTCCTAAGGCTGCTCACCCAATAGTAATTTAAACAGCCATGTATGGACAGATAATAATAAGGGAGGAAATGTTTGTTATGAAAAGGTTTATCGATCAATTACAGCAAGCTTACATTTTGATGCACATATTCCCTTCTGTGTTGATAGATTAGCTACACATCTGTTAAATAAAAACTGTCTGACATTTGATGGGTGGCAAAATCAGCACCCCTCATTTCTGTTTGATGTGTGTTTTGTGTGGATTTAACAATAACGCTTAATACTGTGATTGAGCTCTAGAGGGGTCATTAAGAAGATTTTGCAAGCTTCGGACAGAAAGTGGATGACCTTCCAATGTTTTATTTATTTATTACTTTTATGTATTTATTTCAGATGATATTTGCATTGATATCGGGGTTTGTATTTAAAAGTGTCACATAAAACATCCAGAATTTATTTCAAAAACTGAACCCATGTGAAGATGGTGTACATAACACAAAATATTTAATCACATCTTGATGTAAAAAAAAAAGTATTTTGTAAACTTTTGCTACATTACAACATCTGTTTCTGTTGATCTTAGTTCATTTTTGCTGTTGCTGCTTGATGACGCTTGATGTTAGCTGGTAAATACTGATCACCTCTCATTATTTACCCATTAATATATAACTCTGATCAAGGGCGTCATAAGTTAGCCATGACATTGCGCACCCTCCCAAGACTTCAATATGTTACATACATACAAAGTGTACCACATTACATTACAACTGTGACGTATTTTCATAAAGAAACTTTTTTTAAACAAATGTGAATAAAATACAAATAAAACTATATTTTATTTGAACTCACCAAAGAGAGAAACCATGTTTACTGACATACTGACTTTTTAACTGCCTATGTATTTCTATTATTTCCACTGGACTTTGTCGACCAAATCTTGTTTATTTTGTACATCGTTTGTTGTACATGATGTGTATTCAGTGCTGTTTGATGTCAGACATAATTTTATAAAAACTCTTTGTTGAACAACCCAGGTTGCCTTATAAACAAAAGAAAAAAAAGTTTTGTGAAAATGAAGCCGTTGTCTCTGTAAATCATGTATCTTTGTGTTACTTGTATAGACTTGGACTGTATGTGTGAAAAAATGATTTTGATTAAAATTGTACTTTAAATTATATAACACACTATATATTTTGGAGGGGGGCATTTCAGTGCATTGGGTCCATACAGTTTGAAAATCTTACAAAAGTCACAGATTGCACTAATAGAATCTGTTCAGCTGATTCATTTGCTGTGTATCTCCCTCACCTCCAGGCACTTTATAAAATAAATACAGCAGTTTTATAATGATCCAATCTCATACTTATTCTTCTGATAGACTGAACGACTGCTGCTTCACTGGCATTTCCTGATCTGAAATTGTAGTTTTTACTCACAGAATGGAAGACACACTCAGAGAGCACTTGCTAGACACTGTTTCATACACTTCAGGCTTGACTGGAGTGAAATGGAGCAGAAACTACAGCCTATCCCCAGAACCCTCAGGATTTGAGTTATACATCCCCAAACAATCGGCCGGGACTCTGATGTAGCCCAATCAAGCCTTATTGTGACAATTAACGTTTCTAATGGTTTCCAGCATTGCAAAAGATAGACAATGCTATCAGATTCTTCAGTATCATGCCAGACGTGTGCAGCACATCTGCACAGCATCATGGATTATTTGCCCTGAACTCCCATGTGTCTGCATTAAACTGCATTCCACATTGCATCAACCAAAAATAAATAACCAGCATGACAACAAAAGGCTGCCACTAAGCCTCGAATTTCAAAATAAACCCATCTGTAATGTAATATTTATATCTTAAGCTCAGATAAACTAATAAATGACCTCGCTTAATGAAGTATCTCCCATCACTTAAGCCAAAACTCCTGCAAAGGTCACCCTGCTGATTTTATACATAAAGGTAAGTTAATAGCAATTCCCACAGGCAGCATCCTTCAGCCTGGCTGTAAAGGAACTTTATTAAGTTTGCGTTTTCAACTTCAGACTTCAAGACTACAAATTTCTAAAAGATGGTGTGCATCACATGTGCACATAGAGGGTGGAGTAAACCTTAAAAACACATTTACCAGCCTGGTGGGGCTAAGAAAACAATGTTTTTGGTGGTATTTGCCTTCAAGGTTTTCTGGCAGAGAAATTCTCGACATTGTAGTGAGAGGATATATTTTAATCCAATCCCTAATATTATTCTAAGCCTTACCAAGTAGTTTTGTTGCTTAAAAATAACCAACAGCACCTGGAAACTGAAAACATTACAAAAGAAATTAAAGCTCTCTGTCAATAAGCCGTAAAGGGAAGCTACTCCCACTGGCAGTTGCTCACATCTTCACCACTGGCAAAACAGTTCTTACTGGTTGACTTGAAATGAGTCAGAACCACTGTGCCAGCACATTAATGTCTTCAGCCACACCGGATTTATAGCTCTGCTTTAATGTTACCTCGTGATGATGGGCCTAATCAGCATTGAGTCAACTCAGTTAGCAAGGAGTTTAATGTAAATTATGCTCTCTGGCTTTAAAACTCTTGATCTTAAAAACGAATTTGACGCAACAGAATAAGCGTCTCTTTCTTTTTTTCTTCTCTGGAGAAGCACCATGCTTACAATTACACAGGTAAGAGGCGATTCAAAGTAAACCAGGACTTTTTAAACATGAATACTTGATTTTTCCTTAAGGGTAAGCCTTAAGGGTGAATGGCATTAAAATATATAAACTGTTTTCTTCCAGGAGTTTTGTTATTAAACGGAATTAATGTGGAAATTATTCCAATATGATGCTGCCAGTTTACTGCATTACTTAAACCATACAGTCAATATGTCCCAGCAACTATAAACTGGTGCCAGTCTAGCCGTCTGGTGGAAAATTGGCTGTGAACACATAATAGGTAAATATACTATATAGCCTGAAGCGGCTGGATGAGGAAAGCAGACTGAAAAAGATTATGATGAAGGTCAGCAGAGCAGTGAAAAAGAAGTGCTTGAAAAGCTATTTAAGGTGAAGGATAATGCCACGGTGAACTTGTTTCGAAATGAGTTAATCCCAAAATGGGATAGTCTTTACTGTAATGTCAAGATACAAGCGAAAAATCAAAGAAATTTCTATTTTATATTCAGATTTCAGACTTATGTTGAAATATGTTGTTTGTTTTTCAGCAATATCAGGAGAATAATGTAGGCGTAGCATGTTTGTATTTGTAGCCTCAGGCCTCAGGTAACAAACGAATGTAGTAAGTGGGTCCTTTTCAACTCATTCACAACTAGCGAAACCCCACAAGTATAAATAATGTCTTGTGATTCATTTAATTGAATAGTGCAGGCATAAAGCAACGGCGCTGAATATTTTACTTATTATTGCATAGGTCCATAGAGCACCTGTTCAACCTAATCTACAACATGACAATGACGATATTGTTCAGAAATCTGAGCGCTTTTGTTCCTCTTGGGGAAATAAAAGGAAGATCCTTGTACAGGGTTGATGTCGTTAAGCTTGTATGAACTTTACCACCAAAATAGTATTTAAGCAGTACTACATAACAATGCTCACAAACAGCGAACATTTTATCAGTTATGGTAAATTGGCTCATTATGGGTCTTACTAGAGGCGTGGGTTTACACGCTGATTAACGAGCATTATGAAACTAACCCTGCCATTGGATAAAATGCCAACCAGAATTTAAATGACTTTCCGTAATGTGGGACTAGCAGGATGGATAGGCTGTGGCACCTTAATGTCCCTCATTTGTATATTTGTAGCAGGGCTGGAGGTGAAGAATGGCATGTTGTTTTTCATTCGTCAGTGTTTAGAGAATCCCCACATTTACCGCAAGTGAGACATTTTTTGAGCAAGAGCTCCCTCTGTTGGCTGATTAGGGAAAGTACTATTTTTTCAAAATTTCCTGTGATTGACACTGTAGTAAGTGCTGCTGCCCTATATTAGGTTTAATACAGACTTTAAATGTCAGTATTTATTTTTTTACTCTAAAGATGCTTTTCTCTTGGGGACTTTGACAAAATAAAATACATTTTGAGAAACGAAATTTAGGTATAACATTTTTAGAAGAAGCAATTGAATCAAATATATGCTCATTTACAGCAAACTACAGAGATTTTATATAGTTTCCTATTTTAATTGTTGTCCTGTTGCTATCTTAAGAATAACAAACAGGACACTCTATTGATTTGTCTGTTAGTATAGCTTCTTTTATTCATGAGGGGTCACCACAGTGGATGGTTCCACATTTTTTAATCAGCATTTTTTTTTCCTCAAACCAGTGAGCTTTTAGATTTGGCTAATGTGCTAACTACTAAACCATGGAGTCTCTGATTTGCTTCTTAATGCACTATATTATATATTATGACTCAATCTGAAGCAAAATGAACTTCCTTATGACTTAGGCGCAGACAATAACACACATTTCTGCGTTCGTTTTTGAAAAATCGAGTACAGCCACAATGAGTGTTTTTATTTACCATGCTCTACAAAATAAACAGGGGCAATGTGCAGTGTGCGCACAGCATTAACATCAGGGACCTTAGAAAAAAAAATCAAACATTGAAATATTGATGAGTTATGCTGTAGATCAATCCAAGATGCATGGAAATGAAAAATATACAAGATGAGATGTACAGAAATCTTTTGCGGTCAAGAATTCACAATGAAGGAGAGACAAACTCATTACTCACTCATATTGATTTCATTATGTACTGCGATGTAGCACCAGAATGACAATGAGGCTGAAAGAAACATCGGCCCCTCTTAAGATGCCATAATGTACTTAACAAAAGCTTCATAATTTATGCACCCATTAGCATCCTCTTGGTTTTGCATTAGCTGCTCCACCTCGTCCTCCCTCATCTTCTCACCTATGATCCCCAAGGAAGAACACAGGAAAGCAGTCAGTTCAGTACATTTCCTTATGATGACAGATTCATGAATTAAAGTTGTTAATTAACTCACCCAGTGTTGCCAAAACGTGTCTGAGTTCTGCACCCATGACCGTGCCGTTCCCCTCCTTGTCAAACACCCGGAGGCCCTCTACAAAGTCCTCAAATGTTCCACGGTCCTTGGCTTTGCAGATGTGTTGGTGGATGGGTAGAAACTGGTCAAAGTCCAGCATCTTGGTATTCATATCTGCAGAAAATAATGAAAGTGTAACAAATAAAGCACAAAAAAAAAGAAGAAAGAAAGACGGAATTCCTTTGTAGTGGTGAACTTTATTTAGTCCGATATTGTACAGATTCTTGAACTACATCCAGCTCCAACGCTTAACAACAGCAATGACTCAGTTTGCACACTTGTCTCATTACTAACCTTCAGCTTTGGGCTTTCCAAGCACGTACATTATCTCTGTATTTGTGGGGTTCTGGCCCAAAGCTCTTATTAGGTCACCACACTGGGCATAAGTGATTTTCATCTCACTGGTTGGGGTCCTGTCAAACAGCTGGAAAGCATCTTTGAAGTCTGTGAATGAAAAGAAAGCGCATTATTCCTTTTGATTTCTCATCTTGTTATTGTAATCTAAGAGAACATGCAAAGTCTTTGAGAAAAGGCATCACATGCTCTCTGTTTGTGTAACGATCAACAGCATAATTGCACGCCTCACATAAAAAGAGCCCACCGCTAATGAAGGAGTCAAACCCTCAGATGTTCCTCTCTACCTAGACTGACATGCATCTTAAAGCCTTTTCAAAGCGACTGACACAGATGGATGTTTATTTTAATATAATAGCATATGCTGGCTCTAGTGTATCACCAGCTGCTGCTGAACATTTCTCACACACTTATGGGTGGCATGATCACACAAACAATTTATTCACTCTATAAATAACTCACAAACCATGCAGCCCAGAAGACAACTGTAACAGCCGCCTGAGCCTTACCCTCAAGTTGTTCAGGAGTAAATTCCAGCTGCAAAAAGACATAGAAAACAAAGCGACTGAGGGATGCTGATCATTTGGGTCATAGTACCGCAAACACAGTGAATTCATTTAAGACGGTGAACTTGATGACCCTCCTACAGCAAGCCATTTTAGCAGGTCGAGTTACAGCCATCATCTGTTCTGATCAAAGTGCATTGTTTACTTGTGACCTTGAGGCTAAAACCCCCTTCTTACTAGATGTATACTGTCTACCAGTGTCGGCGTCATTTGAGTTTATTTTTAGATGTAACGTGGAATCTTTGGTGCTGTCAGCTCCACGGGGAAGTAACAAGGCCATAATGTCATGTGCACATGCACACGAGCAGCATTATTAGATATAAAGAGTGTAAAGTACATAAAATCTGTTAAACACCATTTAGAGTTAGAAAACCTGAGATCCAGCGATTTATATATGCTTCTAATTATTCTTCCATTTGTTCAGCAGAACAAGCAGAACAAAACCTTGAAGGGGAACCCATCTGTTTCACCTCGTTTTTTAATTTTTTAATTTTTGTGTTTGTGTGAGAGAGAGAGGGCAGGGCGGTCTTTATCCTTCAAGCTCGGGTCCTCTACCAGAGACCTGGGTGCTTGAGGGTCCTGCACAGTATCTTTGCTTTTCCTGGGAAACTGCACATGTTTGACACTCAGGTGGTAGAATATATAGTAGAAAGAGAACTGAATGTTAAACCAGCTGTACAGCTCGTTTCTACAATCAGCTTTGTGCTCCATTAAAATCTGTTATTTTAAATCTAAAAATAGCTTTGGCCTCAGTAACCACAACAACTTTTGAAGTTTTGCACTTCAAGCATATTTTGAACTGTCAGGGCACGCCCCTGTTTCTGTCTCATGTCAGGCTACATCTACAGACCCCTAGACCCTTTGTGAGGTTTTGTAAAAATATTATCCA